TTTATGTCCTGTAAAGAAAGTTTTTGCCATTTTCTATTTTGTAAAGAAAGGTTTTGCCAATTTCTGTTTTGTAAAGAAAGTTCTTTCCATGTTCATTGTTAGTATACTCAAGCTCTCACTTTGGCCAATAAATTTTCACTTTGAACATTTTCGAACACCCTTAAAATGACACTTTAACCAAGGGTTTTATTGATTTTTCCTCCGTTTCTCATGATTTACGGGCCCCCCAACTTTTCTCGGACCACTTTTTGTAACGAATTATTTTTTTTATAACAACAACATTGTGATGTCATTGGTAGGATGGCTTGTTGTTTTTGACAATTTTTGGGTTTTAATAGGTTATGTTAGAGTTTTGGGTAATATCACAGATAGTTTTTATTATATTTTTGGCTGGGCAGGTTATTTTGGGAACGGTAGTGTAAGTCTTGGTAATTTAAGGCTGTTTCTTGTAGGTCATGTTGAAACGAGGCAGTTTAGAGTGGGTAGGGTCAGATAAATTATGGTCGATAGACTCGGTGTGGTATGGTAGGGTAAGACAATTTTTTGGCCAGAATTTTTTAAGTTGCTTTGAAACACTTGTAAGAAGATTACAATTTACAGAATTACTTCCAGGTATCAGTTGTAAAATTGGTTTTGGACAAAAGCGGTTTAAGAAATTGTTTCTGGTTTAAATTTTTTTATTTTAGAGATCTTTGTAGTTATCGTATAGCTTTTGAAATTATAGTACGATGAAGTAAATTTTTTATATGGTGAAACTAGTTTTTTTAAAAACGTTTCGCTTATTGGGGTTACTGTTTTTTAACAGGTTTAGCCATTGCTTTAGGTTTGGCTTTAGTTTTATCATAGTCTTACATTATCTAGCTTATAATATCTTAACTTTTCTTATTAGCTTGACTGTTTTTTTTTGTCTTGGTCTTATACTAGATTGTTTACATAATTCTGCGCCCCCTTGCCTCACACATTTTCTTTGAGAGAGGGCGCAGAATTAAGAGAACAACCTAATACTAGCCTTACCCTAGTACTAGCATATTTCTTTCTTATCGTTTCCCTAGCCTATAATCAGCCTGACCTTAGTTTTTCTTTAAACTTGTCATGGCCTTGCTCTAGCTCTAACATAGCCTTACCTTTGCTCTCCCCTAGCTCTTCCTTAGCCTAACCCAACCATCTTTTAGGTCGATTCTAGCCATACTCTAGCCCTATTCTAGCTCTACTCTATTCTCACCTTTGTCTGACCCAATCTTTTTTTAGCTCGATTCTAGCCTTACTCTATCCCCGTAATGATCTTACTGAGCCCTAAACCAATATTATTTTTAAAAATCACCTTTCCATACATTTTCAAATTTAATTAGATTTTTTTTCTAATCTTAAATACCGAGGGACCTTATGACTTGATTGAGATTAATTATTTTTTCAACGCTGAAAGCCGGCCCATTAATTTTGCCCGTGAACAAGATTTCCCCTTTCTTTCCTAATGGACTGATTGAAACTCGCCTTTGATCACGGTGATCTTGGCGTTCCAACTTGTGTGCTTTGTTGTTTGTTAAAAAGCTTTGAATTTTTTGTTTTGGGGTAGCGGGAGGGGTTCTATCCTGGCTTTCCTTTTGTTTTGGCCCTAGCTTTGGCTCTCGCTTTGGCTCTAGCCTTGGCCCTAGCCTTGGCTCTAGCTTTGGCCTTAACTTTGGGTCTGGTCTTGGCCCTAGCTTTGGCCCTAGCGTTGGTTCTAGTCTTGGCTTTAGGCTTGATTTTGCGTTTGACCCTAGCCTTGACTCTAGCCTAGGAGGTAGCCTTAGCTCTATACGTCGTTCCAGCCTTGACTCTAGCTTCGACTCTAGCCTTCGTTCTAGCTTTAGCCTTAAGCTTTGCTCTATCCTTGGTTCTAGCTTTGGCTCTAGCCTTAGCTCTAGCCTTAGCGTTAGCCTTAAAGCTAACCTTAGCTTTAGCGTATGCTCTAGGCTTGTTCTCGTCTCTCCAGCCTTAGCCTAGGCTTTAGCCTTTACTAATGCGCTAATTTTAGCAAAAATTTCAAGTTTCTCAAAAATTTTCACATTTGTTGCCCCAGATTTCACTGTTGTTTGTTTGTCTAGTAAACTGCACTTTACCAAGTTGACATAAATAGTAGTATGAGGGGTTTGAAGGCGCGTGCCAAGGATTTCCGCTAGTCTCGTTCGACCGCATTTTTTTTCTGGCATTGTTGGCAAAAAATTAGAATCTGAATGAAGGAATTAAATACGGCGTTTTGTTGCTCTGTGATTCTTTAGAAAAATGTATTTTAAAGACAACTTTTTTTACTTTTTGGTTTATCGTTTGACTTTATGCTTTTTATGGTAGGGTAGAATAGTAAGAAATAGGTTAAGGTGGGGGTAGTTCAGGGTAAGGAGCGTAGGATCGAAAAGAGAGCCTATGGTTAGCATTTTTATATTGACCCGACTTGGAACCGTACTTTTTACTATTCATTCCTGACTAGTCCAAGAAAATTTTTTCTGGGTCGAAAGAACGCTGTGTATTGACAATTGTAGTATTATTTGTTTTTTTATCGTTTTTCAGAATAATATTTTTTGTTTTCAGATACGTCTAGAAAAGTTGCAAGCATTAAAACCACTTCCATACGAAGACAACCTTACAGCAAACAACTTTTTGATGATTTTTTAATAAGAACACTTTCATCTGCTTTTACCGTTGCTTATGGTTGACCTGTACAAGATGCCTGTAAGTTTACATTTAAAAAAATTTTTTGGGTCTTTTGGGGTTTTTTTGTTTTTTTTTTGTTTTAGTGGTTTTTTTAAATTTCCAGAAGGCTTATAAGAAGGGGTAGACCTGAAAGGCCCGGCTTACGAGCGGGCTGGGCCGTTACGGGTTAAAGTTGAAAGGGGCTGAGTTTTTGGGGGCTTTGTAGAGCTCTAAGTATAGCACAGACTAAACGGATGCAAAGGTGAAAGAGGACGGCCCGGCTCACGTGTCCCAAGTGCTTTGACCTTGTTCTTAATCCTAGTTGTAGCCCTTTTCTTGGCCTTGGTCTTAGTCTTGGCCCTAGCTTTGGCCGAACCCTTGGATCTAGCCTTGGCCTTAGCCTTGGCTTTATCTTTGGCTCTAGGTTTGGCACTAGCCTTGGCCTAATCTTAGCTCTAATTGGACCTAGCCTTGGCTCTAGCTTTGACTTTAGCTTTAGCCCTAGCCTTAATACAATAGATTAAAAAGATTTAGCTTCAGCCTTAGCTCGTGTTTGTTTTGACATTTTATATAAGTTACAGTGTTTTTAAAATTTATAGCCAAAAACGACCAAAAATGTCTTAAATTTATTGACCAAAATAGTATTCGAAGGGTTTATTTTCAATATTAAAGATCCTACGGCAAACGCATTATTCATTTGTGGCTTATTTTTTCCGTTTGTTTGCGCTGGTTTTTACGCCTATTTGAATATTATCTGAAATGCGCCGCGCATTTAAATAATTGCTGTTTGGCTTCGATAAACCGGGTTGGGATTTAATTTGCTCTGGGATGTTGAGGTAGAGAGAGGGTGGCCTGGGGGTGTTAATTTATTTTCTTTGAGGTTGGCATGGGGAGACGTGTTTTTTATGAAGAAATGAGGGAGGGCAAGGGTGATAGTGTATGAAGTAGATAGAGAGAGTGGGATAAGAAGAAGGAGGGGTTCATTGTGATAAAATCATTTTTTTTGTGTGTAGGGCAAGATAAGAGGGCGGGGGGGGGTGAAAAATTAATTTTTTAAATTTTTTGTTTTGCAAGCTAAATTCTTGTTATTGGGTTGTTCAATTAATTTTGTGCCTTCTCTTAAAGCAAATTTCTTTAGGATTAGGGGGTCAGAATTTTGAACAACATAATATTTGTACTGTATAACACTTTTTTACGGATTTGGCAGGCTGCGGGTGACAGTTTATACGATAGAAAACTATTTTATTTTGTAAAGAAAGTTCTGGCCATTTTTTGATTTGTAAAGAAAGTTCTTGCCATTTACCGTTTTGTAAAGGATTGTAATGCATACACATTACCCAACCCCAGATCGGTTTAATCCGTCTAGTCTAGTAGGAAGTGTGACATTGTTAGTGGCTTTGTGCGATCCCACCAAGCTACAGACTACAGGCTCATTTGGAAGCGAATTCTGTTTATTTCGCTTTTTTTCGAAATTTTATGAGGTTACAAAAACGATCAAATGACTTTGCACGTATTATTTGATTATTAGATTAGTCATTCGTTGATCAAGCTTTATGACTAAAATTTGGAAAATTGGCTCAAAATGCTAAATGGTTATGACAAAATTGAAAAAAAATGAATTTACAAGCTCTATGACTCATCACCAAAATTAAAAAAAAATTGGAAAGCGTGAAAATTAATGAATTTAACTTCGGGACAACCGTATTTTACAAAAATTTGGCTGTTGTAGTCGTCTGTTGGGCTTGTAAAGAAAGTTTCTGTTATTTATCGTTGTATAAAGAAAGCTATTGCCATTTTTTCTCTTGTAAAGAAAGTTTTTGTCAGTTTTTGTCTTGTAAAGAAAGTTCTTGCTATTTTTTCTTTTGTAAAGAAAGTTCTTACCATTTTGTGTTTTGTAGAGAAAGTTGTTCCCATTTGTACTCTTGTCTAACCTAAACTTGGTGCTCCACAGCCTGCAGAGGACAAGTTATACGATAAATTGCATCGTAATCTTTGTAAAGAAAATAGTAGTTGTCATTTCTTGTTTTGTAAAGAAAGTTATTGCTATTTTTATTGATTCAAAGCTTTTTTAAAATTGAAAGCAGTCGGCAGCTTGCGGATGACAAGTTATACGATAGATAGAAAGTTCTTGCCATTTTTTGTTTTGTAAAAAAAGTTCTTGCTATTTTTCGTTTTGTAAAGAAAGTTCTTGCCATTTCTTATTAAAAAAAATAGAATTAAAATTATAATCCAATTCAAACTTGCAAAAATAAATTTATTAAAAGTTTGTAAGATCGTTCGTTAAAGCATTCAAAGGTTATGTAGATGTTATCAAAGTCAAATCAATGGTAAAATTATTTGCTGGCGGTAGTGTAACGTTCTCCACTCTTTCCACCGCGACCTCCACGGCCGAATCCGGGACCCTTGATTCCGGCCGACTTCAGCTCTTCCAAGGCGGTCTGGTCAGCACTCTGGATGATGCTCTTGATCTTTTCGTGCTCTTCTTGTCTGGTAATGCTATCGTCTTTCATTACAGCCTCGACACTGTTGTAGAGGGTCTGAGCGGCCGAGCTGAGCGTAGCGACCTTGGCAGCGTTAGCAGCAATTTTTTGCTCGAAAGCGGCGTGGCTAGCGTTCACCTTCTCCTGGAGGTCGGTCGACAAAGTGGCAATGAAGGATTCGATGGCGGCTTTGCCAGTGGCTTTGGTGGTGTTGTGGTTTTCTTGGAAGATGGTCTTCAGCTGAGTCTTTTGAGCGTCGGTCAATTCATCGAAGATTTCGGAGAATGGTCCATGGGGTCCGTGACCGGTACCATTACCGCCGCCTTGACCTCCGTGAGGGTGGGCTAGAGCGAGTGGGGCAATCATGAGGATGATGGCTAGGGCGTTCATTGTGAGGACTCTGAAAATGAAAAAAATTGTATTTGAAGACATTTTCTAACATTAGAATATGATGACTTAAAACGCAAAGAAAAACGATTTTTACTACATTGTATAATACGAGTTTACTCTAATATTACCTTAGCCGCGCTATAGTTCTGGCTTTGTTCTAGTTGTGTCTCAGTCTTAGCTTGAGCCTGAGTCTAAGCTTGCCCCTGCGCTTGAGCTTAAGTTTGAGCATGAGCTTGTGCATGGGCCTTAGCCTGCGCTTAAGGTCCAACCTGTGTCTAACAATAAGTTTGAGCTAGAACTTGAGCTTGAACCTGAACCTGAGCTTGAGCCTGAGCTTGAACTTGAGCCTTAGTTCTAGCCTTAAACTTGCTTTTGACTAAAGCTTTGCTTACCACTAGCCTTTTCCTAGCTACTATAGCCTTGCACTAGCTCTACCATAGGCCTATTCTAGTCTTACTGTAGTTCTTTTCTACCCCAATTCTACCGTACCCTACTTACTTAAGCCAAGATATTGTATCCCTAATATCATCTACAGTAATCTCTATTGTTAACTGATAACTAGTTTTAGCTACAGTAACAATATTGATCAACTGTTAACTAATACTAACGACAGTACCCCTTACTATGTACTATAGAAATCTAGTAACCCTTACTATGTGCTATAGAAATCCCCACTAAAAGCCTCCTATATCTTCCTATTGAACCCTCAAAATTGGGAGATGATACTTTGAATGTTTTTACACCGCTTTTTATACCCATTTACATCCGCACGTTATTAACGATGAGTCACGGTAAACCGAACGTATTTGAGTTGCACCGCCCTTCTCCTCATTTTTGTGAAATCCCTTTTTTAATTCGAACAGTTGTGTAAATAAGGCTGTTATTCATAGACAACAAACCACAAGCGTTTGTGTTTGATCATGCAGATCAACACTGATTTTCGGTCGCAAATTATAATAGCATTATTCATCGTACAATTTGAGCTTCAATTGACAATGCATATTGACATGGTTGGCTATGATTGGCATAGCATTGTGATGTATAGGGATATCATTGTCAATGCATATTGACCTATATGGCTACGTCAAGTCATGATGGCTATGATTGGCACAGAACATTGATTTATAGAGCTATGATTGTCAAGGCATGATGGCACGTTAGGCCAGCTCATTCATAGCATTGTGCATATTTACATAGTAGGCAGTCATTATCATATCATTTTGACGTATAGGGTTTTGATTTTCAAAGCGTCATGGCATGACGTTAACATTGTCATTGCTTATTTACATAGTGGTGTATAGGCTTAACAGCATTGAGAGTTATGATTTTTAAAATGCATATTGTCATAGACTGGCCTTGATTGTTTTTGCATGTTTACACAATAGGCTTACATTGTTTAGACCTAATAGCACCGAGGGCTACGGTTTTTATTATTGATTGATTGGGCTACCATTGTTCTAGCTTATGATCATAGTGCACTATTATTGTTAATGAATGTCAGCACTATTGACTATATTTGTCAAAGCATGAAAACAGCTGAATACACAAAAAAAATTTGCACGAATTTAAAAATATTATAATATTTATAAAAAAACAATTGTGAAATTTGATTTTTGAGGCCTATTGTCTATTATTTGATTAGGTATAGGATACTGTAGATGACCAGCGTCAGATGAAGTAGTTTAATTAAAAAAAGGGGTTGAGGGAATTGTTCTACCCTACTCTACAATACCCTACCTTACCCTACCCTACCCTACCTACCCTACCCTACTCTACCCTATCTTGCTTTACCGTACCTTACATGACCTTGCTTTCGCTTATCTTACTTTATCTTACCTTATCTTACTCTACCCTACTCTATTGTGCGTCTCTTTTTTCCAACATGTTTTACTATGACCTACCTTTGCTGTATCTTATTTTATCTTGTCTTACGCTACTGTACCTTTTATAAACTCTTGATTTTTTAAAAAAATTTTAAGAAAAAGTTCACCGGATTTTGTAAAAAAAAAAAATTTTTTGGACGAAATTTATATTTTTAGTATGACAAAAAATACTGGCTAGATTAAAAACTCGCAATGAACTTTTTGTATTTTACCTTTCTAAATAATTACTATTGACTATTGATTAACTGTAAGATGTTGGTGTTTTGTATGTCTATTGAGTAAAATATAGGTTTATGTTTTGTATGTTAATCATTGAGTATTACTATACATTAAAAAACAAAAGAGCAAGTCAAGTTTTAGATACAATAAGTACGATTTATTAGATTAAGTTATGTTACAATTAAAAAAAAGTTTGCGTTAATATTAATTTACTCTTCTTGGGATTCTTCCCTGCTTTCCTTGCTTCCTTTGCCGTGCTTGCCGTGACCGTGACGTCCACCACGGTGTCCCAATCCAGGGGCGTGAACTCCAGCCTTCTTCAACTCTTCCACGACGGACTTGTCGGCTCCCTTCACGATCTGGTCAATCTTCTCGTGCTCTTGCTTTCTGGTCAAGGATTCGTCCTTCAGCACGTTCTTGATCTCGCCGAAGAGTTGTTGGGCCTTTTCGCTCAAGCTCTTGACCTTCTCGTCGTTCTCTTGCTTCTTCTGTTCCCATTTAGCCTTGTGTTCCTTGATTTTCTGTTGCAATTCTGGGGACAGCTTGGCTTCGAAGGCTTCGAACTGCTTCTTCTGCTCGGCCTTGGGGAGGTCGCGGCCGCTCTCGAACAACTTCTTGGCTTCTTCCTTTTGGGCGTCGGTGAGTTGGTCGAAGATCTCGCCTAGAGGACCGTGCTTGCCGTGATGGCCGTGACCATGGCCTGGGCGTGCGAGGGCGACTGGGGCGAGGAGGAGGAGGACGAGGAGGGCGTTCATGGTTATCTGAAAGGTGATGATTAGGGTCTTTTTAGCTATTGATAGTACAGTGGTTTAAAGGCACAATAAAGAAATTGCGCAAAAATTATCATAATTTCCAAAGATTTGAAAAAAAATTTTTTTTTTGCGTTTTAAAATTTTTGCTTAAAAAATCAACAGGGGTGACCACGTTCAACTTTTTTGAAAAAAAATTTATTTGGAGAAGTAATTGAAAAGTTCATAACTTAAATCCTAGAGCTAACAAATGCTTTTAAAAGTTCAAGTTTCTTCCCCACCTCTGTTTCCTCTGACCTATGACATCAAACTTAGCCACCTTTTAAATACTACCTTTCTGAACCAATGCTGACACTAAAACCTTACCCAAAGCAACCTTTCTCACAAAGCAAACAGGACAACTCAATCTTAGTTGATAATTTTCGCGACATTGCCCATGCCTTATATACTGATCAAGTTTCCTGAATAAACAATTACTCACTGGTCCTCAAACTCCGCCCCCTTTTCCGCAACCGTTCAAAGTCATAATTTTGTTTGAACACGCGGTTCGTGATTCCCCACCTCCCCATACTGCCGGTAGTGTCCAATTGAATACTTGTCAAATTCGACGACTTTGCGCGACCGAATTTGAATTGTAGTTTGGTGAGAAATGGGAGAAAATTTGGGGAAAAAGTTGATAAAAAGTTTAAGGTAGTTTAAGAAAGTTCGTGAAACCTTTGGGAAAAGTGTAGCGGTGTAAAGTGGTGGGTAAGAGACGTTGGGCGAGCAGGAAGTAAGGTTAATTTAAGAAAAAATGGGAAAAAAGTAAAGAGAAAGAAGGTTAGACGAAAGTAAAAGCTAAAGTTAAGGCTAAAGCTAACAATAAGGCTCAAGCTATGTCTGATTCTAAGGCTAAGGCTAAGGATGAAGCTAATGCTGAAGATAAGGCTGAAACTAAGATTAAAGTTAAGGCTGACGCTAAGGCTAAAGCTATGTCTGATTCTAAGGCTGAATCTAATGCTGAAACTAAGGCTGAAGCTAATGCTGAAGCTAAGGTTGTACGCTGAGGCTAAAACTAATCCTAAAGCTAAGCCTGAAGCTAAGGGATGAAGCTAAGGGCTGAAGCTGAGAGCTGAAGCTCAATTTCAAGCTACAAGATTTTTTAATTTAAAAATTAAAAAAAAACGTTTATTCTAATGATAACATAAAAAGTTGAAAAATCCAAGTAAAAAGCTCATCGACCAAACACAGTTGTATTTTGAGAAGCCGTAGAAAATCAAAGAAAATTCAGCGAATTCGCGTTGTAAACAAAACCTTTTAAGACTTTTCTAGTTTATAGTAGCAACTTCTCGCATAATTTTCTGTCTTTTTTAGTTTAGATGACGCAAGTTAAGAAGATGGAGTAGCAAGAGTTTAAACTTTAAAGAAGTGACCAAGAAAACAGTAAAGAAATTTAATAACTATAAATCGGGAAACTACTGGAAAACACATGAAAAATTGTAAACTGGACATATGGGGTCAAAAAATAGAGGGAACCGCTAATGTAATAGGGGTTTAGAATAATTAACGACTAAACAATACATTGGAACTCCTGTATAACTAGGTCCCCGTATAACGACAAAGTTAAAATCTCCAAGCAATACCTCAAGGAGTTCAACTGTAATAAAACATGCATCTTAAAACAAAAATTTTAGTTTTAGGCTTGTCGTTGACAAATTAGGCTTAAAACCGAAACATTAGGTATTACTACAATAAAAAATACACAAAAGATCTTCGAGATAACACAAAAAACTTGTAAAATGACATCATTTCGAGTGGTCAACTGACACTACTTGAACGATTTTACTGTCCTTTTTATTTTTTACACAAAATTTAATATTTGCTCAAGTCATCGAAAAGTCTTTGAAATTTTACAGCAGTTACAAATCTGTGCAGTTTTGTCAGTATTTACTTCAGTATATTGACTGTTTCAATGGATTGTAAGTCAAGTTCTTTGAAACTTGGAAAATTGCTGTCTTTTTTGTTTACATTATGTTTTTATTGTCACTTCTGATTGATCCCTTCAACGTAAAGGGATCAGGAAATATTAAAAGGGCAAGACTTTTACAAAGTATATATTAAAAAGGAGAGCAAAAGAATAGCAATATAACAACACTCAGAAACAAGATACATTTTTTAAAAACATTATTTTTTTTTGCTAAAGGTTTTGCTGTTTTTCTCAATTAACAAAAGAACTGTGTAAGACAGCAGAGAAGCAAAGAAAACCAGCGTAAATCTTGTTCTCTCGTTTTCAAACGTCCCTAATCAAAAAACAAGTGAGCGTTGTTAAAAGAGCGCGGTGTAGATTGGCTCTAATGGTTCTATACCCGGCCCGGTATAAATATTTAATTATCGATGTTTTTCACATTAAATTATTAGTAGAATTTGAATGGAAGGAATCTCACTGTTGATCCTTCTTATAAAAAGTGAGTAATAAATTATGTCCGAACTTTATTGCACAATACTACCGAAGCATCAAAACTAAAAAACAACAGTTATTCTTGAGGAAGCAATTCAGATTGATCATGATTTCCTTCAATTCTGTCAACTATCTTTTCTGGCAAGATACTAGCAGACTCAACCTCTTCCAAAGCGCTTGGGTCAGCATTCTGGACCAAAGTTTTTAGTTGCTCTTTAGTTTCTTGAAGAGTCAAATTGTCATTTTTTATAATGCTGATAGCTTGGTTGGCCAAATCTTGAGCTGCTTGTCCTAATCCAGACAACTTTGTTTGGGCATCCTGAATTCTTTGTTCGAAGGCTGCTTTAGCGGCCTTGGCTTGGGTTTGGAATTGCTCTGGTAGATTTGACACTAGGTCTTTAATGGATGACTTAAGTTGAGCTTTAGTGGCATTTTGGTTTTCGGTGAAGATGTTCTTTAGTTGGCTTTGAACTCCTTCTGGTAGTGAGCCGAACTTCTGGGCGATTCCTGCAAGACCAGTGGATGATTCTACTGGGACTTCGGCTTGAGGCCGGGCTAGGCAGAGTGGTAGGAGAAGGGCGGTGATTAGGGTTGGTTGCATTTTTCTGCAATAGTAGTAAAGGTTATTAAGGGTGCATTTTAAATTGTTTGGAGGAATGTTAAGTAAAATGGCATAAATTTTTTTTAGGTCTATTAAAACGACGTAAACTTTCTTTACAAAGACGAAGCCCTTAAAATCAAAAATGTAAAAACTTACTCCAGAGCAATTACCCCAGCCAACAGTTGAAAATGTGATTTTGTAACAATTTCATTTTGCTTTTATAGTACAATTGTTTACTTGAACATTTTTCGTTTTGTTACTTGTTAGTTCAAAAAAGGCGCTTTATCCGTTTATCTCTCTTACAATAAGCTGCAGTTACCAGAGTAAAATCACAAAACACGCAACACATTATTCAGAAACAGCAGATAAATTGGCTTGCTTCCTTGTTTTTTTATGTTATTGTAAGGGTTTAAGTGTGTGAGGACCGTAGATACAGTTGTGCAAGGGTTAGGTGACATGTTATACGGTGAAACATGTTTTTGAGTATTTGTATCTTTTTGAGTGTTAGTACTAGAACAATAGTTTTTTTAAGATTGCTTCATAGGTTATAGACACATTCATATTGTCAATGATAAGCTGGATTTTCCAAATTTTTAAAAAAGTGACATGTTATACGATGAAATTTTTTTTTGTTGAAATTTTTTAGAAACGACTATAATAATTTTCAATACCATTTTATAATAAACCAAAGTCTAAATTTAACTTTTAAAAGGTCAAAATCCATTTGACATGACATCATTTGACCAAAACCTCAAAAAGCGACAAATTTCGTTGTGTTTGATCAGCTTTGTGATGATTCAAAGGCCTTCCACATTAGCAAACACAAATGCAAATCCGGATTGATAATAATAAAAACCGCATTTTATGACATTGAATTACAAAAGCGAGAACAAAACCCTGTCTCAAAATACAAAACAAAATAGAAATGACATTCTTTCAGGCCAACCATATGGTAATGACAACCAACAAGAATACAGTTTTTAATGGGTTTTGGTGAAAGAAAATAGAAATACGGAAGTGGATTGATTACTTGAAGTAATAAAGTAGCTATTCAGTGAAACTCCTGTATAACGAATTGCTCGGAGATTTTAAATTTAAAAAAATAAAATGCAGGAGTTTCACTGTAATTTGTAGTTTTGAAGTGTTACCTTAAGAAGCCCAAGACATGTTAAGCCTAAATTTCATTTTTAAGTACAAAATTGCTTTTTTAAGATTAAATTGGTTTTAAATCAAAATGTTCATTTTTAAGATTAAAGTTCATTTTTAAGCCTAAAATTTCACTTTTAACCCTAAATTTCATGTTTAAGCCATATTTTTATTTTTAAGCCTAAAATTTTTTTTAACTTAAAAAATTTATACTTAAACTTAAAATTTGTTTTTCAAACCTAAAATCAGTTTTTTAAGTCTAAAATCGCTTTTTTAAGCCTAAAATTGCTTTTTTAAGCCTAAATATGGTTTTTTAGGCCTAAATATGGTTTTACATCAAAAAATTCATTTTTAAGCTTACATTATTAAGCTTTCAGCTTGTTATAATTTCATTTTCAACATAAAACATACATCAAAAAATTAATAAACAAAACAAAAATCAAAGAAACCACAAAGAAGACCTTTGATCAAAAATATTCTAAAATTAACTTTAGTTTTTTTATTTGTTGTTATTGCCACAAATTGGTTTTAAAAAATTATTTTATTTCCAACAATCTAATTACAAAATTAACCGGTTTGTTTACAACTTTAAAATACTTGTCAACTTATAATGCAATTTCGAGATGTTAGCCTTTGAAAACACATGGCCATAATAAGCTTATTGTTGGTAGGAGTCTAGACCTGTGAAGGGAATAGGCCGGTTTTTTTTAGTTTAGGTTTTCTTCGGCTTGGCACGGCTCTTGTCAGAGTTTCTTGGCCTAGCCTTTTACATAAACTTGATTTTTGTTTTACACTTTTTGATAGCTAAATCTTTCGTTGCGGGACATAAGCTAGATCCTTTATTTAGGCCTAGACTTGAGGCTCGCAGAATCCAGTCCGACCTTTTTTAAATTTGTTTTTTTTTGCATATGGCGAGGACGGGACCAAGCCAGTCTTGGGTCCAGACAAGGCCAAACTGAGTTTAAAGCCCACTTTCAGGTCTACATGAGACAATGTTATTTTGTGGCAAAATATACGTGTTTTATGACTATTAGAAACATGTGGGTTTTATATTGAAGTTTGATGGTAAACTTTGGGCTTTGAGGGGTTTTAAAGCAGAAAATACTTAAATTTTACATTTTAGGCTTAAAATCTTATTTTTAAGCGTAAGCTTCATTTTAAGGCATACAATTAATTTTTAAGCTTAAAATTCCGTTTTTAAGCCTAAAGTTAATTTTTAAGCCTAAAATTGTTTTTTAAGCTTGTGATTTGTTTCCTAAGCCTAAAATTTATTTTTAAGCGTAAATTTTATTTTTTTAAGCCTAAAGTTTGTTTTTAAGCTTAGAATTTGTTTTTAAGCCTAAAATTTCATTTTAAGCCTAAAGTTTTATTTTTAAGTCAAAAATTTATTCTGCCTAGAACTAAACATAAGATTCTATTTCAAGCATACTATTTTTAAGCTTAAACTCATTTTAAATCTAGAATTCGTTCCTAAGCCTAAAATTCATTTTAAAACTAAAATTTATTTTTATGCTAACCACTTCTTTTTAAATGCCTTAGGTTAAAGTACACAAGTTCTTTATACTTTTGCTCCAAAAAACCATGGCCATTTCGAATATTTTCAAAAAACGGGACCCGCCCTTAATACGTTATAAAAAATTAGGGAAATGTCACAAAACGCGCCTCTGTTTTTAATGATGTTTTTATTGGACTTATTGGGCAAGTTAATTCCCTTTGACTGACCGGTCCGTCGTTCGTCAATAATGTTTACTGTTCTGTCCAAAATTCTTTACTATGCCTTCGTTTCATTGACTGTCTGGCCAAAAAAAAAGACGGGAATGGGAAGGGAAGAGGGATCTTAATGGTAAAAAACGGGTGGGAGGGGTAATCAGAGGGTAATATTGGGGAAGGGCAAGTTTTGAAAACACGGAGGATTTTTGAGGTTTGGGGATAATTTAAGCGGTAGAAAGGGGGTTGCTAGGCCTGGCCCGGCCCATCAAAAGTAAGTTTGAAAGATGGCGGGCAGAAAAATTAGAAGCGGCTTCTTAACAAGTTTAGTTGAAGTGTTAATTATGGTTAATATTAAGGAAGGGAAAGTATTATTTGTTTTTATTGCGGCAGGTCTGAAGGGAGGTTTACTAAGCCGGGCTGCGGACCGGGACGGGCTAAAGTAAACTTGAAAGGTTCAGATCGCCGGGCCAGCCTGGCATGCGTGAGCCGAAAGGCCGTCTAGGTAGATTGCTTTGTTTGAAGGGTAGGGCAAGGTAGGGTATGGTAGGTTAGGGTAGGGTAGGGTTGGGTAGGGTAGGAGTAAGGCAGGGTAGGGTAGGGTGACATAGGGTAGGGGTAGGGTAGGGTAGGGTAAGGTAGTGTAGGGTAGAGTAGCTTAAAGTAATGTAGTTTATAGTCATCTCTTGCACAGGATTATTACTGTCTATTATTATTCGTATTAGTCTTTTACGACATTGCCAATGATTGCATGGTGTTTTCTTCTGAGGATTTCAGAGAGAGACTTTAGTGGGGTTTTATCGGATTTTCAAAATGAAACCAAGTAGAAATATTAAATGCAGATAACAAAAACAAAGGGATTTTGCAGTTTCGGCCTGTTTTTGTTTATTTTTTAATTGTCGTTTACATACGCAAAATTTTCAACATCTTACATTATACTTTTATGAGTCATTTGGATTACTTTCACGTTTTTTAATTTTATACGAATTTTTTGCTGAATATACAAAATTTAAAGTATAATTGTGTTAAAAAACCTACTTTAGGCTTAAAAAATAACTTTAGGCTTGAAAATAAAAATTTAGGCTTAAAAATGAAATTTTAGGCTTAAAAATCAATTTTAAACTTAACGATTAAATTTAGGCTAAAAAATGAATTGTAAGCTTAAAAATAAAAATATAGGCTTAAAAATGAAATTTTAGGCTTAAAATTGAATTTTAGACTTAAAAATAAATTTTTAAATTTAAAAATAAAACTTAGGTTTAAAAATAAAATTTTGGACTTAAAGCTAAATTTTAGGCTTAAAAGTGAATTTTAGGATTAAAAATGAAATTTAGGCTTATTTTTTGTTTTAATTACTTTAAAAAAATTTTTTTTGACTTTTTGATATTTGAAAGCTTAAAAATTACTTTTGTTTTGATGTTTATCTTCGCCAGTTGCCATACAAATTGTAACAATACGGCTCCAAAATAATGCAACGACAGCAATAGGAAGACATTAATATTTATTGCATGGTAGTTTAGGACGTTTGTTTTTGGGTATTTTAAAGAAAAACCCAGACAAAATTTTCAGGGTTTAAATGCCGGAGGGGAAAATATTGAAATTTTGGAAAAGTCGGTTTGTAAAGAAAGTTCTGGCCATTTTAAGCTTTGTAAAGAAACTTATTGCCATTTTTTGTTTTGTAAAGTAAGTTCTTGCCTGTTTTTGTTTTGTAAAGAAAGTTCTTGCTTGTTTTTGTTTTGTAAAGAAGGTTTTTGCCATATCTTGTTTTGTAAAGAAAGTTCTTGCTTTTTTTTTATTTTGTAAAGAAAGTTCTTGCCATTTTTTGTTTTGTAAAGAAAGTTCTTGCCAATTTTTAATTTGTAAAAAAAGTTTCTACCATTGTATGTCTTTTAAAGAAATTTCTTGCCATTTCTTGTTTCGTAAAGAAAGTTCTTGCTATCTTGACCGATTGCCACTCTCCCTTAAGCACTAAAGTACTATAGCAAACACCACATAACCCAAACTCAATTTTTCGTATCTGAAGATTCGATTTGCTTGAACGAGCGTTCATTTCACTGGATTTAATGAGCATAACTCACCGGAAATGCCTTTGGCATCTTTGCTGTTTTGTGATTCGTAAAACGGTTCGACGTTCTCGGAATGGGGTCGTGAAGCCGTGGGGTTGTACACAAACTTTCGCGGAATTTGTGTACAATTTTGAATGTTGAGGTATTTTAATTATTAAAACCAATCTTCTGGGTTGATTTCTTGATTTTAATTTGGAAGCAATTTTGGCAAAAATGAGGGTTTTTTGAAAAAATCTGGAAAAAGTGACTGTTGGGAAAATGAAAATTTGTGTAGTGCCAAAACTAAAAGTAAGTATGCTTACAAAATTGCGATTTAGACGTTTTTTACTATGCGAAACATTTTTGTAATTGACAACTTTTTTATAGGATTACTGTAAAAGGCTGCATTGAAATGAATAAATTGCAAATTTGAGTTTTTGCGCCAAAATTT